GGTCGGGTCCCCGAGCACCGTGGGTCTGGGCTGCCAAGGACTGGGGCCACACGGCCCGTCCCACTCAGGGGCTGAGGGTGAGGTCAACTTTTTAATTCTCTGCCCAGTAATCAGAGTAACGATGATTACTTTAGAGGTTCAAACTAATCATAAATTTACCTAAAACTCAGTGGAACTACAAAAGATAGAGGCTTGGCAAAAGTCATAACAATGCTCAAAATTTAGCAGAACTATGAAAGGTAAGGGTTTGGCAAAACATGTGACGATACTACCCTATTGTGCTGAAAATTAAGTCAGAGACAAAGAGAGTGACAGAGAGGAAAAGAGAGAAAGAAAAGAGAGAGAGAAAAGAAAAGATACCACCACCCTCGGATCCAGCGACGTTCTCTGCTCGTAGTTGTAGTCTTCAGGTGGTGGGCACGCACCGAAAACTCGTTTTCCCTTTTTATAACCCGATGTGCCCGCCCCATGGGCGGGGGTCTGTCATCACTGAGCAGGCGGTATGTGCTCAGGAACGTTCAGAAACGTTCCAGAAATGAGTTGGTGGGTTGTGGGGGTCCTGGGGGTCTCACTGCCCCCCCCTTCAGGGCTGACCAAGCCAGTGGTGATCTGTCATGGGCACATGGTGCACAGGGCACAGATGGTCACTGTTTCCGTGTTTCAGGACTAGAGGAGTGGTCTCACCAGACGTTATCCTGCCTCCACAGGCTCCGTCCTTCTTCAACACTCCCTGGTCATCATCAGCCCATCCCTGTCCATGTCAAGACGGGTGTTTGTGACATTCCCTTGTTATCAGGGCCTTACACCACACAAGGCTCTGCTAAAACAGTGGGTTTAGCCCAACTCAGACCAAAGACATGACTTGGTTTCCTAGAGCTCATCACCGCTGGCGCACAAGAGGAAAAGGAGCACAAGCAAACCCTCCCGAGCCCCCAGCAGTCAGAGGCTGCAGGATCAACCCCCTGCACAGAGGAACAGATGAGAAGTGTCGCAGCTCAGGGTGGAAGTTCTTTATTCGTGGCCTGGAGGAAGGAGCAAAACCTGGCAAATCTACAATCAAGTAGGAAATACAATCACGTAGGAAAACAAGCTTCACGGAATTCAAGATAAGCTTAGAAATTGCCGTCAGCAGCAGGAGGCAGCTGTGTGTGCCCCCGAGGCGCTGGCACCAGGGACGCGTTTGGCTCCAGCAGCCCGAGGCAGAGCTGGTGCGGCCCCCGCAGCTTGTCAGCTCAGCGCCCTGCTCGGAAAGGACTGAATTTCAGCGAGCCCCTGATTTACCCTCAGCTGTAGTGTATGTACGAAGAAAGGAAATGGCATGAGACTGGCATGACAGGCAGATGGGGGAGCGGACAACCGGATGTCTCAGGCTCCCAACAGACACAGTGCTACGGTCCACGGCAGCACAGAGCCAGCTCTGGTGGGCTCTGACCTCACACCACCTCTGCTCCTGGGAGAGGGACATCCTCCTCACGCCGCAGGGGACTGCTGCCCCATCCGGGAGCTCCTGGAGGGGACAGGGCCACCTCCCCCTGTCAGGGACCAGCTTGGTCCTTGGTTTCCGCCCCCCAAGGAGCTGCCAGCTCCCGTTGCCAAGTCAGACCCCAAAGGCTGATCTCAACCCCAGAAGGGCTGAACTACTCCCCCCCTCCTAAAAAGGAGGAGCTGCTGCTGGGGGGCTTGGGCAGCGCTCAGGCTGAGACAGGGGAGAGGGGAGGAAGAGGACGGATATCCGTGGGCGGCACTGCCCGGGACTTGGGAAAAGCCAGGAGAGCAGCTCAGAGGAGACAGGAACAGACAGTGATCACCACAGCCCGCACCATCCCTGTGCCCTCAGCCGTGTCAGCTCAGAAGAAAGGGTGGGCACGGAAAGAGGGTGGGCTTGCTGCCCACCCAGCACCCCGGTGCTCCCTCCCCCAGGCAGAGGCAGGACGGGCAGGGTCACCACCACCACTCGCTGATCAGAGGCAGCAGCTCTCGGCTCCACCTCTGGGAGACGTCACCCCGAGATGTCCCAGAGCAGCAGCAGCAGCATTCAGTCAATGTTTCTGTCCATCGGTCAATCTCAGGCTGTCCATCATTGATTTTTGTTTGCTCCTGCAGCCCAGAAATCTGCAAGACAGCAGGGAGGTGGGTACACAGTCCTGCCTGGACCTGCCCTGCTCACGGAGGCTGCCAGGCAGGACACAGGCAGGGGGAGAGGGGAGGAAAGGAAACCCCTCTCCCAGAAAGCGCCAGGCCCCAATAACCGGGCACCAGCTCCCTTCCCACCTCTGCAGACGTACGCAGCCAGAGTGAGTCCTGCGTGCAGTCCAGCTGCAACACAAGACGCGCTGCAGTAACTCACGCAAGGAAGAAAGGGGAGGCAGAGGCTGTCAGGACAATCTGTGCCCAGTCCTGCTGGTGCGGCACAGAAGAGGGGCATACCGTTGCTTCATGGGACACTCAGAGGTGTCCAGCCAAGCATCCTCCAGCAGGAATGACAAGAAATAACCTTGTCAACTGCAGGCGCATAGGAAAAACCCAGCAAGTTCTCCTGCCCTTCCCAAGTCATCCCTAGGACTGCCCACAAGGACTCAGAGCTGTTCCCCACATCGCTCCGTGCCTGCTCTGACGACAGTGCGGTGTACGACCCTGCTCTGCCTTCCCAAAAGTGGAGGAAGGCTTGAAAAAAAACCACTGCCAAGTCAAGACCTGGGCTGGCTGCCTTCACCCAGAGACCCTGCCCCCTCTCCCCCAGCACAGCGTGCGCCCCGCAGCCGCCACAGGAGGGGCAGAGCCTGGCGCTGCTACAAGGAGGTAATGCCATGCCCCTATACCATGGGGTAACAGGGTTTCTCACACGAGCTCTACTCTAATCCCACGGAGGGGGGAAATGCACGTCACCTAGAGTTTAGCAGAGGATGAAGCAATACCCAGCAAGGCGGGGAAATTGTTGGCAGAGGTCAGCCAGCTCCCACCGTCCACGACCAGGGTGGTGCCCGTCACGTAGGAGGAGAGAGGGCTCGCCAGGTACAGCGTGCTGTGGGCGATCTCTGTCTTGTTTCCTGCGCGGTGGAGGGGGATTGTGTCGAACTGGCTTGCTTCCTCGGCAAATTTCCCACCTAGGAGTGGTAGAAGAGTCAGCTAGGACCGCGGGACCACCTGCCCACGGCCACTGCCTGCCGGACACTGCAGCACCGCTCGCACGGGGCTTGCTGGGAGCCCCAGGGAACCAAGATGAGATCCTGGGGACAGTCCAGGAACAAAGGCCTGAGAAGAGAGTTAAATGAGGGGAGCTCAAGCTCAGCAGCAGGAGAGTTCAAGACAGGACCTCAGAGAGCTTTCCTGGCTTTCAGGGCTGCAAGAGCTACACCATCAGGCAAAGCAACCGGCCAGGCTGAGCTTTGCGGGAGCACGCTACATCACAGCATCAGAGAGCACAAAAAGGAGTCACTTGACAGAAAAATCGGTCCCTGCGAGGTACTGAGGACACAGGAAGGGCTGCTCCCCCAGTGAGACCTGCCAGCCGAGTCACAGGACAGCCGTGCCCAGCAGCAACGGCCCCGGCCGCATCACACGCCCCGCGAGCTGCACGGCACGGGTGGTCCGTCACGGTCCCCTCCCAGATGGACGTGAGCAAGCCACCGCTGAGGCAGACAGGAGCCCCAGGTTGCCTTACCCAACCGCCGGTAGCCCTCGGTGCCTGTAATGGGGCCCGGAGCCAAGCTGTTCACTCGGATGTTGTTGGGTCCCCACTCCACAGCGAGGTGACGGGTCATGGCATCTGGGAAGGGATTACAACAGGACTGAGATATGGAGAGCGGAGCCATTCCAGTAACTTTTGGGAAGGGGGGGAGGAGGGGCAAAAGCCACAGGAGACTCTGGCTAAGAGCAAAGGTCCCTGGGGGAGAGAAAAGCCTCATCCCAGACCCAGGCACATAGTAACCACACTGATTCGTATTCACCTTTCCCATGGACATCTTCCCAGCCCAGTATCTGGGAAGATCCAGCTTCCTTACTGGCCCCACACAGCTTGCAGAGCCCCAGCAAGGAGTGTTAGGTACCTATGGCAGCCTTCGCAGTACCAGCATGCACCTGGAGGGCCTGCCCTCGGTAGCTCAGGGTTGCCGTGATGTTAACGATGACCCCGCCGTGGTCCTGGGGAAGGAAAGGAGACGTGGCATCAGGTGGGGAGCAGAACAGGGGGTCACGTCGGAGAGCGGTGGATAAGAGCTGGGCTAGGAGGGACAGTCACATGTGGACAAAGCCACCTCTGTGCGGATAACCCATTGCAGGGGCAGCACTGCCCACCCGGCCTCACTGAGCCAGGGCAGCCAGCGGGGCCCTTCCAGAGAGGCGGGAGATGCAGGGGACAAGCAAAGGCCAAGGGAAAAGAGAGGAGCTGGAAAAGGAGCAGCAGATCACAGCTCCTTCCCAGGCAGGTGGCAAAGCACGGGAAGGTGCCACAACAAAGCCCCAGGGCTAGAGAATATCTCAGGACCAAAGCCAGGTTTGTTTGACACTAACCCCCCGCCTACCAAGAGCCTTTCCAGCAAGTGCCCCAGCTCTGGTTCCACTTACCCGGAAATATTTCTCAAAGAGGACTTTGGAGGTGTTGAAGGTGCCAATGGTGTCGATATCTATCACGGTCTTGAAGGCGTTGAAGGACAAGGCGCTGGCTGGGCACAGAAAGTTTCCTGCAGCACCTGAAGAACAAGCAGCCGGGGGCACAGTCAGGACAAGGCCAGAGATCAGGCAGGTTCAGGGCACTTCTGCGAGAGGGATGGTGAGTGGTTCCCTTTGGGTAGACTGGAGAACACGTGGAAACAGCCCTAATAAGCAATAAACAGGTTGTGGCTCTGGGTGCCCAGCAGCACAGCCAGCCTGAGGGCAGGAAGGTGCTACGCAGTGAGAGCAGGGACGATCGGACAGTCTCACATTAAGAAGAGGACTTTGCTTCCTCTGACACCATCCCCTTTGTGCTCTCGGGGGCTGCCCAGATGCTCCCAGGCCAAAGCGGCATAAGCCAGCCACTAGTCAAGCACAACCTCCACGCAGGAAAATGCCCTCCCGGCAGTGAGTCTGCACCAAATCTTCCCCTTGCCCGCTCCAGCAGCTCACCGTTCACGAGGATGTCAATCCGCTTGAACTCTTTCAGTGCCTCATCCACCGCTGACACAATGGTTTGGGGCTGCCTGACATCTACGGACAGAGGCAGACACTGCTGGCCTGTGGCTGCCGCCAGCTTTTTAGAGGCCTACGCACACACAGAAAAAAAACCAAACAACAGAGGGGTGAGATTCTTTCCGAGACTCTCTCCTTCAGCGAGGCTTAGACCTCGTGACAGGCGAGCAAGAAGTCAGGCAGGAGCCACATCCCTGTCAGCACACAGCAAACACTGTGGGCAGGAGAGAGACCTGCCCAAACACGGCCACCTTCAGCCCGCAGCACCCTGCGACTAAAGCTCCTGCACCTCGTGTCCCAGCTGAACTGCCAGGCTCGCCCCGAGGCTGCAACTTGCTAAGCCCAGTTACCTCGGAGGCCCGTCACCGACACAGCACATCCCGAGCAACATCTCTGCAGGGCAAGTACAAAGGTTGGACCCCAACAAGGCATGTTTGGCACGAGCTCGGACATAATTAACCTTTGGATCTAAAAACGTCAGTAGGCAAAAGGGCAAATGCAGACCAGCGGTTGCCAGGGTCTCTACCTGCAGCTCTGCGGCTCAGCACCTGCCACAAATCACCCCCTAGGGCGCTCGTTAAGAACATGACTCTCCCCAACAAATTAAGCACAGGGGACGTGCAAACTCAGCAGCAGCCCTGCACAACACCCAGCAACGCTCTGCGTTCTTGCTTGGGCTCGTCGGGCCCTTCCCTCAGCAGCTTTGAGCCCCGACTAGCACACACGTACGCCGAGCATCAAGAGCCTGGGAAAGCAATCTCTGTGTACTCAGAAGACCCCCAGCCCCTGAGGACTAAAAAGCTGCTGAGCTTTGCAACTTGTTTTCTAGCATGTGAGCATGAGGGAACGTGAAATGACAGCACTAACCTCCTCCAGGAGGCAGCCGGGCCGTGCCAGCTCACTCCCAAGCGCTGATTTTGATTACATTTCAGTGAACTCCACACGCAGCTACCGCAAAACTCTCTCCCACTTGCTTTCAGCCCGGAGACCACAGCACAAGCCATGGTGAGGAACAGGAACTGTGATCAGCCAACCTCCAGCCTGGGGTCAGACACGCAGGGGCGGGTGTTTGTTCTGCCCAGCCGCCCACAGGGTAGCTACAGTCCAATACAGCTTCTCCAGTCGCTGCTTTCCAGACCTGCATCCTCCCCTCCACCTCCAGATGCAATATAACTGAGCTTTTGGGGCTCAGTGCACCCACCTCAACCCACGTAACCCTTGGACAAGGGGGTCTTGCCCTGCTCGAGGCTGAGATTTCAGTTTCACCTTGGGCACTGCCACTTCCCTGCCAACAAACCTTCACCACGGTTTGCTTCTTTCTGTCTCATCAACAAAAAGGCGACGCGATATCTGGAACAGATGCTCCCAAAGCTGGCGTGGGAAGGTAGCGAGTTTCAGGATTAACTGAGCTCTACTGTGAGGTGCGGCGGGTGCAGCCCACCCCAAACGCACGCCCGTCCCGCCCATCACCGCTGCCTGCTGGTGCGGAAGCGCTGAGAGCCGGGAGAAGACAGGGCAGCACTGATAAGCCATTTCTCCCGTTGCACTACTCCCAGGACTCCAAGTTCCACCCAGGGGAGAGGGAGAAAAGGATTTTCAGGCCTTCACAGCTCTCCCCTCTGTCTGTCTGTCCCGCTGGAGCGTACAGACTCACCTCCGACACTCGCTGCAGGTTCCGGCTTGCAATGACCGTCCGGCAGCCGTGCCTGCAAAGAAAGGGCCGGTGAGAAGGACCACGCAGCGCCGGCTCCTCAGGCTCACCTCGGAGCTCTGGGGATCCCCAGTTCGGTCCCTGGACAGACCGCTGCTCCTCCAAGCCCG